CGCTCTTCCTTTTCTTTTTTGAAGATTACACGAATAGGTTTCTTCTTTCATACTTTTGTAGGTTTGATTGTATGTTTTGAACGAAAATCATATGGTTTGTTATTCATGTTCTATACTTTGTGACTCGCTGTGTGTATTGGTTTGTTTTATGTTCTCTTCTTACATTTCATTATTGTTTTTGGCAGCGTCCTTGTTTAACTAGGCGGGCTGCAGTGAATCCTGAAACCCCCTCGTTTCTGGATACTGATCCTGCTTTTGTAACATCTCGTCCTGAAATAGAAGTTTTTGGAACTCGGTATTATCGCCATATCCGACATCCTTCCCCAGATGGACTTGATAGGGTGTGTTCGACAACTGAGATCAGTCGTCCTGTTTTCTGGATTTTTTCTTTTTCTTTTTCATTTTTTGCATTTTTCATTGTGCAGACTGTTCTGAGGACTTATTTATATTCTGTCCTGCTTTCAAGATTGTTTTGTTTATCCTAGGGGATGGGGAATTGATTTGAGGAGCACAAAAATGATAAATTTGGAAGGGATTTTATGTGACATTGATCTAACTAAATAGTTGGACCATAGCTTGACTTGAAAATGGCTTTGGTTATGTTCATGATCATAAACCATAAATTTTCTGTCTATTCTCCAGATTTTCTTTGTATTAATTTTTTTCATCTTATTATTCTTTATTTCTATATTTTTCAATTAATATTTGTCTGCATATTTATTTACCTGCTTTATAATCAAATGCTTTCTAAATTCCTACACTTGTTAGAAAATATTGTTGTCATATGGAGATGGAAAATCAGTACATGTTTCTTCATTTCATAATGGATCAGCGAGAACTACACAATCATTTATGTCCCTGCTATTAGTATTGATTGTTAATTTTTAATTAGTTGAAAGATATTCATTACCTATATTGGGCTATCCATTGAAAATGGGTAAAATAATTATATGAATTCTGCTTGATAAGCATTCTGATTATTTAGCCGCTGTTCTTTCATTAGTGACCAGTACTGGCAAATTGCAGATGATGATGCTCCAGAATAGTTTTATCATGGGAGGAAGATTGGATCGATTTAGCAACTGGAGACTTGATATTGATCACATGACATATGAGGTTTGTGGACACCACAATATGATTTCATATTTTTTGTTTTGCTTAATGCTGAATGTTTACACAGCCTATGGAGAGCCCCTCTGAAATCCTAGCTTAGACAGGCCCTCTTCGCAATGATGTTTAGCTTGATGAATTCACATCACTCCATGTATAATCTTTAGAATTGTCCTGTTTTTGTGGTGAAAACAGCAACTGCTCGAGTTAGGTGATAGAATTGGTTATGTGAATACTGGATTAAAAGAAGATGAGATCAGCAGCTGTGTCAAGAAAATTAATCCCACAATCATCAAAGAACTGCCATCACATTTACCCATGACATTGGAAAAGAAGTGCAGCATTTGTCAGGTGAAGTAAAACTTGGATTAGCTGTTTTCAATTTTTTGCATGCTTTGGTTTCTAATTATTTCTTAGGCTCTTTTCTTATCTTTTGTTCATTGCTTTTATTTTTTTGTTTTTGTTTTTGCTCAAATGTTTTCTATATGCAGGATGAATTCGAAGAAGCTGATGAGTTGGGTAAACTAGATTGTGGACATGGCTTTCACGTACAATGTATAAAGAAATGGCTTGCACAGAAAAATACATGCCCGGTCTGTAAAACTGAACCGGTGGCTCGAGCCTAGTTCTTCAAACTGCTGCTATTTACCTGTTGGTGTGTATAGATTTCATTTCCTATACGTATTCAAGCATCCATTCTTTAGCCTGAAGCTTCAACTCCAGTATGCCTAGAAATCAGAGGCTTTTTCTTCTGTTCTTTTCTTTTCTTTTTTAGTGATCCAGCAATCTCATGCTGATTGAAATTATTGCGTTGCTGAAATTTGATGGAAATCATTGCAGTTTGATAGATGTTTGAAATGGAATGTGCTCAATTCCATAACACTTCTAGGGTTATTTCTGAATGATGCTTTTTTAACTTGTAATTGTAGCTTTATTTAGTAGTTGAGGTTATAAGCTTTTAATCTTTCAAGTATCCAAACAAATTGAAATGGGGTATCCGAGCTATGGGACCTGATCAATAAGAGGCGTTGAACAGAGGGCATAGCAATCGTGGAAGAGTCGTGTGTCTCTGTTGGAGTCAGTGAAGACGTGAGTGGGTTTAATCACTTCATATAAACAAATTTTGATATATACCATGCGTGAAGGCACGTGTGATGTGTCTGTCACCTGGGTTTAAAATATTGGTGACAAGGCCGGAAGCAATCTCGTGGCACCTGGGTTATGTTCCATTGAAAGCACTTCCCACGCCTTGGAGACAGTCTCTTATCCATGGCAACAATCGTGCTTTAGCTAATCCTGAAAGTTTTCAGTCGTATGGTGGCAAAGACAATACGTTCCACAAACCTGCAGGTGAAGATTTTTCTTCCAGAAAGACCTCAGTTATTCTACTAATGAGCGTAGAATACTTGTATACTCCAGGATTTCACCTATACGGATGCGCATGCTGTCTGATAATGCCTTTGGGCAGAGTGTGTTTGGACGGTGAAATGAAAATGGGAAAACCAAGATAATAATAATAAAAACACACCCATAAAAGCATCAGACCAATTTATCTCAATTTAAATACAGTGAGGTTATAAGCTCTTTTGAGTCGTAATTTAATTGAAGCCAAAGCTTCTTATTGGTGAAGAGGATAATTCTTGTGAAGCAGAGCAATGATGACAAACAACTGAGGAAGTAAAGACTTTCTTGCGAGAGATGTGGTAATAAGACGCAACTTTTAAACACGAAATAAAGGGTAATGCCTTTAAGTCGGAGCTTTCTGCAGTTTGATACTTTCGCTTCAGTATCTGATAGGAGGTGAACCGTGAACCATAACTTGTTGACCATGCAAAAAGAAATCCTGGGGCAAAGGTACCATGGGAGGCAGATTTGTTGAGGTGGAATCTCTACCATCTTCAGCTGCTCAGGGCAGACGAGCACGGAAGCTACAAACCATTCCTGTATACATTAGATTTGTGGATAAACCTGCATGGTGTAAATGGTCATACCACGATGCTTCCGCGTTTTTCAGCAAAACTCTATTTGCCTGATCATTGACTTGTTACTTTTCGCATACGAGGGGCTTTGTATGAAGTATGAACGGATAGAAGGGAAATAAAACAGAGCATTTGACAAAGGGCAGCAAAACTATCTTGGTAATAAGAAGCATTTCTCCATTCAATTCCTGTTAGCTACACATCTTTTCTATACACAGCCTTCTTTTTTTGCTTGTTACTACTTCATATTAATTCCCATACTGTAAATAATACCTAGAACATCCAAAAAAAAGTATAAGATTAACTCATACCAACCTCCACTAGATCATAGTGAGCTTAATGTGGATCACTTGGCTCTACAAAAACTCTGTAAGCAAGTAAATGCTTTGCTGTCTCTGCTCCATTGCCGTCATCATAGCCAGAAAAGAAATGTTTAAGAGAATTACTTGAGATTTAGAGCCAATTAGAGGTGCATGTAAACCAAATGAAATAACGAACTGCCGTGTACAGCTTCTGTGACGACAGATGAGATCTTGATCCCCTGCAGTGGCTAACGCTGGTACATTGCTTTTGCGTAGATGATCCTTGTGAAGGAAAGATCCACTACGGTTTTGTAATCCACCTTCTTGAAATGCTGTTGTCATCTGCAATAAAAGCTTCGCAGGTACTGTGCCCGTGGACTATTATGATTGGATTATCTCATACACAATAGGAAGGAAGAGAGATGAGTGGAAATGATAGCCGCTATTGATGTTCTTGCCAAAGGAGTCAAAATAAAGGAGTGGGCCCTATTTATGGAAATTGCTTATTAAGGATTTTAATGGGTACAGTTTTCGGTTTGTGCATATCGACGATGGGATTTAAAAAAAATAAAAATAGCATAGTAATTAAAAGAATTTAGCATAATAATAACATTTGAATTTTTTTTAATAACACACTTTAAAAAAATTATTTAAAAGGATATAAACTTTAAAAATGTCACATTTTACTTATACGACATATAATTAAATTTATATACGGATTTTATTTTTCAATCCTGTATCATAAATATTTACTTATTTTTATTCAAAGTTATTAAATTTGAATTAGCCTTGACTTAAGATCTAGTTGAACCGGTGACTAGACAGATTTGGATAAAATGAAAGATTGGTAAGAGCTAAAAAAGGATCAAACCTGGTCGACCTGCCTAGTTGCTTGGGCTTGGCAAAACCCGGTAAAAACCCTTTTTTCTTCAAATGTGTTTTTTTTTCTAACCAGAGACTCCTTTATATATATATATATATTAATTGGTTATTAACTATTTTCAAAGTTTATTATATAAATATTAGAAGAATATTTTATTTTTTCAATGTGTGATTTGAAGGCCATTAGTAGCGGTGTTCACGGTCCGGTTCGGTTCGGTTTTAACTTAAAAATTCAACTAAACTAGAAAATAGTATTCCTTATCAATATGACCTGGACCGAACCGAGAACTGGTTCCGACCAAACTAATTTTGTGCGGTTCAGATTGGTTTTTAGTATTAAAAACCGGAAACCAATTAAATAGGCTTTTTTTTTAATTGAAAAACTGAAACTGATTCTTGATATATGGGTTGTTGTTGGTGGTTGTTGATAGGATTAAAGTGAAGGTTATGGACGACACTACTATATGAAAAACGATCTAGATCGGGCCTAAAAAATTGAAACTGGTTCCCATTATAACCACCAAAAAAGGTGCAATCCTTGCTCTTCCAACACCAAATAAAGTCCACAAACATAAATTTATATTACTTTACACTCAATAAAAAAGGACTCCATTAAGATGAAAGGATCTAGATCGAGCTTGAAAAACTAAAACTGGTTCTTGATATGTGGGTTGTTGTTGGTGGTTGTTGATAGGATTAAAATGAAGGTTATGGACGACACTACTATATGGAAAACGATCTAGATCGGGCCTAAAAAACTGAAACTGGTTTTTGATATATGGATTGTTGTATGTGGTTGATGATAGGAATAAAGTGAAGGTTGTAAATGACGCTATCATATGAAAGACTAGAGAGTGATGGTAAGAGGAGGTGGAAAGCTCTTGTATAAAAATTCAAAAAGAGGATTGAATGTTAGGTTAACATGAGAGAAAAAGAGAAAGAGACAGGAGAAGAGAGGAGAGGGAGGCGGTTGGAAAGTGATGAAATGAATTAGGGTTAGGGATGATTGCTTTTATACCTTGTTTTTTAAGTCTTTCATATTCAATTGAATCGGTTCGGTTCAATCAGCTTAAACTTTTTGAAACCAAAACCGAACTAGACTAAGTGTTTTTTTATTTTTTAATCCGTTTATTCAGTTTTTTCTATCAGTTTGGTATTTTCGGTGTTTTTTTTTT